TGAAAACCTTTTTTAGGTAGCTTTTTAAACATCTTTGACCAAAAGTCAAAATATTTCGAAAAGTTGTGTTATTTTTTATCTTGTTTTTAGATCTAAAATAATTTAATTTCTTTAAGCGATAGAAATTGCTATAGAAATGGTTAAGATTTTGTTATAGGGCGTAGAGAACCACAAGGAAAAATTTCCTTTCCCCCGCTGACAGTCCAGAACCGAATCGCGTAGCTGTTTAGAGCCGTTCGTTGGGAGAGGTCGATTATCAGGCCTTCAATCTCTCCATAGCCGTTTTACCGTAAGTACCGGTTCTTGTTCATTAGCGGGGTGGCTCGGGGAAGGCCACGCCCACTCCTGCCCCGAATTACCTTATAAGTTCCCGCCACAGAAGCCCGAATCCCGATCAGCCCGTTCTCCGAGCCTTTGTCTCGGGAGTTGTATTCATAGCTATAGAGGGCCGTGTGGACGACCAACTCGGTGAAGCTCGGGTTCACCTACAGGGATAAGAAAGAGTTTGGAAACTCGAATCACCGTCATCTCCGGACCACGCTCCTGACCGATGAGGGGGATGTCACCGAGAGTTTTCACAAATTCGTGAAGATCGGCTTGGAAGGTGTCGCTGCTGAGGGATTTGCAGGTCTCGTAGAAGGAGCGGGCTTTTTCGACGGCTCGCATGCCGGATTTGTCGTTGAGGATCAGCTCTGGAAGGCGAGATCAGGATTCAAGGCGTTTTAAAGGTTTGTGAAATGTTTGCCTTGAGACTTCGCCGCAACCGTGGAGCTCAACGCGATACGCGACGCGCTGCACCACGCAATTGGATACGCGACGCGACACGTGATGGAACACGCCACGCGGCACAACGCGCGACGCGCAACGAGACACGCAACGAAACGCAACGCAACGCCACACGCAACGCCCCACGCATAGCGCGATTCAACACGACACGCAACGCACGCAAGCCGCGAGGTCGTTGAGACAAGTGCCGCGACGCGCCAAGGCCACATGCTACGCTACGCAAAATACGACGCGGCACGCAACGCGACAAGCACAGCGGCAGCTTGTTTTTCACACGAAAAAATTGTAACCCGAAAGCCTACCAAGAAGCTGTTGCGACATCTTTTCCTCCTGCTCGCTCCAGAACGCGCCCTGGTGCTTCTGAAAAACAACGATGGGATTTTAAGGCCAGGTCACCTCGTTATACTTCCCGCAAGCGTACTCGTGGAAATCCTCGCACGGATCGATGGCCGGGTTCATGTTTTGGATCTGAACACACATATTTTCACCTAAAAATAGGTTAGAGTGCAGTGGACCCCCTCCCCCGCGCCCAGCCGGCACCCAGCTTTTGTGTCTCGGCTCCCTGTTCATCTACAGGTGTGTAAAGTATACCAAAATGTTCGTCTGGCTTTGGCGAGTCTTTTGGCATACTTTACACGCCTGTAGATGAACAGGGTGCCGTGATACGGTAGGTGGGGTCGGCTGGGGGGTGGGGGGTGGGGGGCGGAGTAAACTGCACTTAAGCCTAAAAATAAGCTCCTACAATTAGGCTAGCCGCTTCAGTGCATCCCTTTGTCGTGCACAGGCTGTCTTTCTAAAAATCAGAACAATCCTGGAAATCAAGCCGATTCTTACCGAGCTCGGATCAATTTTTGGAGGAGCACGAGGATCGGAATACGATAGATCATCGCCAACTTGAGAGCCGTATTTCACTAAATGAAACATAGTTTTGGATGTTGTCCTCCTCACCGGACAACAAGATCAACGCCAACAGCCCAATTCCAAGGATCACCATCCAGCGGCAGGCATCGTTGCCTAATTTGCAAAAACGGATAAGCTTCCACCGTGATAGCTTACCCTGTTTCTGGGCGGTGGCCGATTGAGGAGCCATCGCAGATGAATGAATAACGCAGGTAAGCAGTTTTTCTTTTAGTGGTATCAAGAATGTAAATTTTTGTGTTGTATGTTAATTATTTGATGCTACCTTATATAATTTTAGGGGTGTAGCTCTCTCTCTGTGTGTGTGTGTGTGTGTGTGTGTGTGTGTGTGTGTGTGTGTGGATGTCAGTTTCGAGGACCGATTTGAGGGCCTTACCGTGTCCAAAACGGCCAATACTTCGTCACTTGAGGGAATCGACCCTTCTCTTTCCGATGACGTCTTCAGAATTTTGATAAAATACAAGTTTACAAAGTTAAAGCCGGTTTTATTCATTTTTGGGTCCAGGATGGCTCATTTGCATGACGTGAAAAAATAAAAATGTTCTCATTCTTGCCAGTTGCACTCGCCAGTTCGGTCGGGGTTGGGGGGGAGGGGGTCCGCAGCACCCGAGCTCGCGGAAAGTGACGTTTTTCATCCAAAGGCCGCACCCCAGCGCCCAAGGCCGGCGAAGCGGGTTTTCGGCGCTGATTTTTAAATCTTTTAATTCCCTGGAAAAATCGATTGCTTCGCTAGCGATCTAGCGATTTAGCAAAAATATTTATTGCGTTTGTGCAAAAATTCCAAGGCACATAGAGACACAAAAAACTACATGCAAAATCGTGAGGATAATCTGATCCCGTTGCGCAACGTAGTCTTTTAGTGGTAGTAGCGCCAGACCCTGCACTTCTTCTCCGGGTTCACCGTCGAGTTCAACTGAAAAAGAGGCTCTCTCGCGCTCTCTCGCTCTCTCCTTCGCTTTCTCTCTCTTGGTCTCCCTGTCTCGACCATACCTTGCACTTAAATGTCGTTGCGAACGCGTTGAAGTTCTTCAGCTTTTCGTTGACGCGTACGCTGCCGATTGGGTGCTCACTAAAATTTTGAGCCACTAAATTCAAGGTCAAAATAAACTCATGAAGCCAACTGAGCTCCTTGCGATTTTGATTGGGGTAGATGGCAGGCGTTCTACCGCATGCCGGCTGCAAAGAAGCTGATTAAGTTTTGCTGAAAATCTACCTGGGCTTGGGCCAAGAAGAAGAGTTGATCATTGGTGAATTCTTGAAGTCCAGGAAGTTTCGGGGGGTTGCGACCGTAGAGCTGCTTACGTTTTTCGAGGTAAGCCTGCAAGGGCTAGATTAGAGAGAGAGAGAGAGAGAGAGCGAGAGAGAGTGAGAGATAAACCCTACCCTCCAAGCCACCCGAATCCCGTTGCTGTCGGCGATCGTCTCCTTGTGCTGAAGCTTGCCGTTGCCCTAAATTTCCAGCGTCCAGAAGATGATCTTCTCCCTAGCCACCTGAATGCTGATGTTTAACCGCGGATTTCCGTAAGTGACGCCTCCGAACTGATCGACAAAGCATTTCTCCTTCTCTCGATACTCCTTCGTGTCGTTTCCCACATTCCCCTTTGGCAGGGCGGCTGGAACAAGTGAGGCTAAATGGTCCTCGAAATGCCCTACATCGATCGTCGAATGTATGCGTGAATTCGTGGCCGATGATCTGCCCAATGCCACCGTAGTTGAACTCGAGTGGCCACGTCGGGTCGTAGAACGGGGTGGTGATGATGCCGATGGGGATGACTATATGGACGATTTTTCACGAACAAAACTTGTGATATCGCCATACCACGAAGGAACTTACCGATTGCTCTATCGGCCAAATTCACGGCGTTGATGCGCAGCGGATCAGTGACGAGATCACCGAATAGATGCTAGGATTTGTTGGGTCAAGCTGGAACAGAATCGGCTACAAATTCCGATGCGGCCCAGCTGGCGCGGTCTTCGAATTGCAGAAAGGTGACGGCGTTCCATTCTTGAGGCATTGGGATCTGAACGGATTCGCTTAAAGTATGGTTTAGTGTTGTTTTAACTATATGTAACGTACAAAACCGTTTCACAAAAAAAGGTAACGCGTGAAAAGTCGAAATTTGGTCATTTTAAGTCGAAAAACATGATTTTCCCTAAAATAATTTTTTGATTAAAAACTTGTATCGTTGTTGTGTTTAGAAATGGCTAAAAATCTTTCTAAATCCAGATTATTACCTAAAAAGCGAAAACAAAAAACCTAAAACTTTGGCCAAAAAAGCGCCCCTAACCCTAAAAAGCCTCACCATCTCGTAAAAGTCGTCGATTTTTTGCCTGTCGAGGGCGTGCTTATTGTAGCCGTAGCGCTCCTCCACGTCATTGAGCTGGAATTAAAAAAAACTAAGACGAAAAACTTTACGATACCCTCTGCTTGAGCTTGGCCTTCGTTTCCGAGGCCAGCCACGTGTTCTCATCAAAAATTTGGTGGAAGACGCGGCGCATCTCCTTACCGAGGTTCTGAATTAGTTTCAGAGAATACCAATTACAAAATTTATTTAAGTAATAGGATTTAATACAAGTTTCGGTAACCGCCGGTTTATAAGTTTAAACCCACCCTAACGTCTTCGACATGACTCTTTGATCGGATCGTGTCGAGGGCCAGGTGCTCCGAAAGTGTCTTGAAGTAGTCGAGTAGCTAAAGGAAGTGGCTTTCCAAAAGGCTAACATCCTTTTGTCTAAATAGCATTTTACTTCAATCCATAAAACCTAGATCTTTCGAGCACAGAATGGTCAATTTTTCGCGAAAATTTGAAATTTTGAAAAGCCTATGAAAGTGCCGGTAGATAGTTTTCCAACTAAAATATTGATAGGTTTTTTAATAAAAAAAAACATTAAAATACTCGCTAATACTTTACGAAGCATTTCGTATTCGAGCCCCCTCGAAAATGCGTAAGACCTCTAAAAACTCACCCTTGTACGACATGGTACCCTAGAATGGAGCCGGAATCGCTGCCGGAGGTGTCGGACCCAGTTGACGAAAAAAAAGTTCTGGACGACGTGGCGCGGGGTGGCAAGCAGGACTTCAGATATCTGAAGGGGTAGCTGTGAGAAACGGATAGAAATTTTCTACCAGTCCCATGTTTTGAGATCCGAAAAGCAAGATCTCCATCTGCTCGGTGATCTCGCTGTGGAGGTACTTGGGGAAATGGGAGCGGATGAAGTGCATCCAGTCATACTGTGAATGAGTGGAAAATAGCGACACTTTCAATCTTATTACCGCTGGGGCCAATTTCTGAAGGTCAGCGATCGTGGGAAAAGGGAGCGTCTCGAATTTTGTGCTTGTCGCCTGGAAAGGGTTCTTTAGGATTCCCGGGGGGGGAAAGTATTCCCGGGGGGGGAAAACAAATTTTTTTCGGCGAAAGCCTAGATTTTTGTATAAATTGCGGATGCGTTTCTAAATTGTTTTTAACTATTCCTGTGCATAAAAACTACACACATTTTAACCAAAAAAAATCTAAAAAATTAAAAATTAGGTCGAAAAATAGACCCAAAATGACCAAATTTTCGACTTTTTCAAACATTTTTCTAAATTTTTCTGAAAGTTATTCCGCTCTAAATATAGTTAAAACTTACTAAAAACAATTCGAAAACACTTTATATTTGATTACTAGGCCAACCGGGACCACCAGGAAAAAAATTGGTTTCCCCCCCCGGGAATACTTTCCCCCCCCGGGAATCCTAAAGAACCCTGGAAAGATTTGGAAAAGTAGGGGCGCGGTACTGTATTCGTAACGGGGGACATGTCGAAATTTTTCTCAACATAGCATTTTACAGATGTTCCAGACGTAAAAACAGCTTTCAAAAGCTAGAAAGTTTCCTCATTTTTTGGACATTTTTGGTCAAAAACGGATAAAAAATGGCCAAAAGGTAAAAATTCCAAAATTTTTGAATTTTTATAACTTTATAGCTATTAAAAACTACTGACCACGCTGGGGAAATACGTTAGATAGTATTAACCAGAACGAATAAACGGAAACCCCCCGCGACCCGTCCACTACCAGAGATTCGATATTTACATACGACAAAAAGCTTCTTGTAAAATTCGAAGAGTTCCTCCAACTGCTCCTGGCGGGCCTCATTGTTGACGTTGAAGCCCAGGGCCTCTATTTCCGTAAAAGCCTAAAAACGATAGTCAGTTTTACGGTAATTCCTCAAAAAGACCTCCTCAAGCCCACTCCTGACTTTTCCTTCGTCAAGCGGTCCCCTGGGCGCATATCTCGTATCGAAAAACATCGCCGATCATGCGGCATGGAGAGCTAGGATTTTGCATCAATTCCGGGACGGACGATTGTCGATACCCTAACCGATGGGCTGGAGGAAGCTTGGATACAGGGTAGACAGTTTGCGGCAGAAAGCTCGTCATCCTTGCGGATCCTGGGGAACGTGGTGAACAACAACATGTCGGTGATGCTGGGCTGGCTTTAAACGTCGAAAAATGGCATTAGCCAGAGAGAGAAAAAGAGAGAGCGAGAAAGAAAGAGAGAGAGAGAGAGAGAGAGAGAGAGAGAGAGGGCGAGCGAGAGAGAGCGAGAGAGACAGAGAGTGTGCGTGGGGGAGAGAGAAAGAGAGAGGGCGAGAGAGACAGGGAGCGTGCGTGGGGGAGAGGGAAAGTTAAAGAGAGAGAGAGCGAGAGAGAGTGAGCGAGAGAACGTGTGAGAGAGATAGGTACATAGATAGAGAGCGAGAGCGAGAGAAAGAGAGAGAGAGAGAGAGAGAGAGAGAGAGAGCCAATTAATCAGAATCCCACCATTCCCGGCTCCAACTTCTGCCCGATCAGCCGCAGCTCCCCGAACTTCCTTACATATTCCTGGAGCTCTGAGTTAAAATTTTCGAGATCGATGGTTTGGCAAGACTCGTAGAAGGCTTTCGCCTTCTCGCCTGCCGCCATTCCCGATTTGTCATTCGTGAGCATCTCTGCAAGATTTCACTCGCGTCGTTGGAGCAACGCAATCGCGCGGTTCCAAAAAAGGCATACCAAAAATCTGCTGCTCCAGGGTAACGCGCAGCCAGCCGGTGACCGGTCCCGGGTTCTTCTACAAATTTTTTGGTGCTCGATGAACTGTTCGGACTTTGTTTTTACCTGATTCCATCCCCCCGCAAGCGAACTCGTGGAAATCCTCGCACGGGTCGATGGCGAGGTTCATGTTTTGGATCTGGAAGCTCACCAAAGTTTAGATTGCGACCATATCTCGTTGAACATGTTCAGAATTTAGTGCAGAAATTCGGCCTACAATCATGCCAGCCGCTTCTGTACATCCCTTTGTCGTGCACAAGTTTTCTTTCTAAAAATCAGAAAACTTCGGAATTCGAGCCAAACGCTACCGAGCCCATATCGATTTTTGGAGTAGCATGAGGATCCGAATGTGGTGGATCACCCTCAACTTGTGAGCGATATTTCACTAAAAAACCGTTGTTTCTATGTTGTCCTACTCACCAGACAACAAGATCAACGCCAACAGCCCAATTCCAAGGATCACCATCCAGCGGCAGGCATCGTTGCCTATTTCCATAAAAATATGCTACCGTAACTTGTTACCCTGTTTCAAGGCAGCGGCCGATTTCCGCCCCATCACCAAAGCAGAATAAGATTTTGTTCGTCTGGATTATTTTGGGGTGACTAATTCTGAATGTGGATTTAAATTAATCTAATAAATGTCAATAACAAGCAAGCGAAACTAAGATTAAATGGATTTCTGCATGCTTTAAATAACGAACTAAGTTAATATAAAAATAAATATAAATCTCTAATGGATTCTTTCATACAGAAACTTGCGCATTATATTGATTTTCAGGCGCGACGATTGATGCGTAATTTGCAGTACGGCCCGGCAGATGTCCGATGTTGGCAGAAGTTTTTCTGTTGTGTATGATTGCCCGCCCGTTGCTCTAGGTTAACCACAGCTTTTTCGATCTCTCTCTCTCACTCTCTCTCTCTCTCTCTCTCTCTCTCTCTCTCCTCTCTGCCTCTAAGCTTAATATTTACAGCCGAGAAATGTTCCATGTAATCAAGCTAAAATTTCAGAATATGGATTTCTCCGCGCTCCCCGTTAAAGTGCAACGCCAGGTCTTGCGGAAAACGGATATTCGAAGCTTCTTCAACGTTGGCGCAACGAATCATCATGTCGCGCAGCTGACCGAATCGTGTCGTCGCAACAAATTTTGGGCTGTGAAGGTGCACGTAAAGATGGGTGCAAACGATGGAGGACTTTCCATAGAGCTTGATGATGAGACGAAATTTCGAATTCTTCGCATCATAGCGGAGTGCCATCCACTTCTAAATGGACGAGCTGCCCCAGCGTGCTTCGATGCGTATCCAGCATGGTTCTATGTGTCACTGTCCTCCCTCTTCTACCGTATCAGACGCAGCGACGGTCGCGTGTTGATTGCGCAGTTCCGGAGCGGATCCCTCAACATGTTCCATCTCGTGGACGCTGAGATGCTGCGACGGACATGGGATGATGAGCGCGTGCTCCAATTCGCGCTCCGTGACTCCGAGAAATGATAATAAAATACTTTTCCGAGCGTTTATCGGGTTTTATCCGTTCATTTGTGTTGCCGTTATCTCCCTAGCAAAAGAGGTACTTTATTGCAATTGTATTTCGAGCGGCGTCGATAAATAAAAATTATAAAATGTAAGGTTTTTGTTCATTTTTCATACCTTTTCCACACATACAGGGTGTCCCAAAAAAAAAAACACCCCTCCGCCATTTCGCCGCCTTACATCTAATCGGTCCCATACTTTGCACAAGGGTGTATCAGACCCTAAATAACCACAAGCCTGAGTTATAGCCTCATCGCTACAGTAGTTTTCAAGTTATCGCCAAAACCCTATTTTTTACGCGATTCTTAACAGTTTTTCGGCTATCTTTTTGGACTTTGCATCAATTTGCATTCGGGTGTGTCTTTCGGTTACAAAAATTGTTGAAATCAACGTTTATTTGATTAAATTTTATGAGGAAAAATTTCTTGGGGTAAAGAACGCTTGCCGTTTCATTTTCACTTAATATTCGAATGGTCGATTCCGACAAAAACCTTATGAAAAACGGACAATAAAGTTTATTTTTGTTGTATCTCGAAAATTACGGTAGCTGGCGGGCTATAACTCAGGATTGTGATTATTTAGGGTCTGATACACCTCTGGTCCAGATTTGGGACCGATCGGATGTAATATGGCGAAATGCCGGAGGGGTGCTTTTTTATGGGACACCCTGTATTCGTCCAACTTTTCATATCCTCGGACTCCCGCTAGCATTCGAAAATCACCTAGATCGATCTCTCTAGGAAAACCAAATAAATAAACTGTTTATGCGTTTTCAGGCCGTTGAATATAATACCACAGAAGCAGTTAAGACGAACACACAAACGCTCAATTCAATTTTTTAGTCAGGCCCAGCATGGCGGGTCCATCGGTAATTTATCGCCTTGATGCGGGGCCAATGGTGGATTTAGTGTGTCCTTAGGGCACGCAGACGGGAGAAAAGAGCTCAAGATGTCTTGCTTCCGACGCAACCCTGTCATCCTCATTGATACCCTAATTAATCTTGAATTGATCAGCGTTTCGTTATTAAACTTATCTGCCAGCTCGCTTCATCTCATTCACTCACACTTTCTCTCTCTCTCTCTCTCTCTCTCTCTCTCTCTCTCTCTCTCTCTTTCTCTCTCTTTCTCCCTTTCTCTCTCGAGTTTCTTCCTTTTATCTTGATTCCTATTTCGTTTAGTTCTAAATTTCATGCTTTTTCATTTGTTGAGTACCATAGTAAAAGCTGCATTTCAGGTGATGGATAACTTCTGGGGGTTCCCACTCATGATCCAGCACAACATCCTCCGTCACATGGACATTCGAAGTTTCTTCAAAACGGCCATCACGAGCCAGAAAATGATGGAGCTAGCTAGAGGTTGCCGGGACAAATATTGGAATCTGGACGTTTACGATGATCCGGAAGCTGAACTTTGGTTTGTATGCGAAGAAGGGTTTGAGGATGTCCTAATCGAAAGCCTCGACACGATCAAGCTGCTTTTCCACAATTCAACCGTCAATTTCCTGAGGCTCGACCGGCCTATCCCTCAGGAGATCGACCTCCGCTGTGATCACCTGGAATTGGATCTGAATTGGAGGGTGGATTCCGAATTCCTGCTGGCCAATCTCAAGCGGCACAAACCGGCTCTAAAATATGCTTCCGTGTCCACGAGCGCCGTCCGGCCATGCAGCAAACTGCTGGGATGGCTGAATGAAAACGTTGAAGATGTAGGGGCCGAGATTGACGCACCCGCCCCGGAATACAATGCCTTGAAAGTCCCCAAAATGGAGCTGTGGAACTACCAGACTTCCGATCCATGCTACGAAGCCTACGCACGGACGATGATTGAGGAATGGCTGGCGGGTACCCGAGAAATACTTGACGTCACGATCGGCGATATGTCGTTCCGCGATCGGCTCTCCGGCTTTGACCCCGATTACCTCAAACCGCACCCAAAACGGTGGCTACCGGACCAAGGAGCGTGCTGGCGTATCCAACGCGACGACGGCAACGCGTTGATGCTGGTTGTCGACCACGAGAAGCAGATTCTGATCTTTGTACATCCCGATCGACGTCTGCGCCGCGATAAAAATCTCAAACGCTACGCCAAGCAATTCGTTCGGGTCACCCGAAAGTGATTTGGTTGTGAATAAAACTTAATCAAAAGCTTGGTTAGAGTTCGCACTCATGTTTTATGGCTATGCTCCGCAGAATCCTGACTCAAGAGGGTAAAAAGCATTTAGCCCAGGAGAGGGGCCGACAGTCGTGTCCGATTTTGACGATTTAGGCCTCTCCGCCATTGTTTCGATTTTTTAAGCCTTAAACCAAATGTATTCGGCGGGAAGACGGGTGTAGGCGCTAAAACACCAATAGAATTCGTGGTTGACCTCAGCGACTACGATAATTGCCAGTTGGGACTAACGACAGATGGCAGGGTATGGTGATAACGTCAAGTGTTGTTTTCAAAAAGGCGTCAATTCCAGTCTGTCGCAATTTTAGCTGTAGTCCCAATTTAAGTTGTAGTTATTGTAGGATTTTCTCTAGCTCCTCGTTCTCTCTCTCTTTCTTTCTCTCTCTCTCACCCGCACACTCGCGCACTCTCTCTCCCTTCCTTATCTCACTATCTCCTTATCTCTTTAGCGCTACTTATCATAATAATATTTTTATTCCAGGTGATGTACAACTTCTTTGAATTCCCACACGCTGTCCGGCAAAACATCCTCTGTCATATGGATTTTAAGAGTTTCTTCAAGACGGCCATCACAAGCAAGACGATGATGGAGCTCGCCAACGACTGTCGAGACAGGTATTGGAATGTGGAAATTTACGAGGATCCGGAAGGCCGACGTTTGTGCGTAAGGCCATATAAAGGGATACCTGTATGGATTGACAGTCCCGAAAGCATCAGGTTCATTTTCCGTGACTCCACTGTCAGGCATCTAAGGCTAGGCCGACCCTTCCTCAAGGGGATCGAGTTGCGTTGTAAGAATTTGGAATTGGGGCAGCACTGGGAAGTCGACGCCCGATTCTTGCCCGCCGTTCTGCAACGCCACAAACCCACCGGAAAATACGGGATGGTCGACCTGAAATCGATCGCGCCAGACATCGAACTGCTCGAATGGCTCAGCCAAAACGTCGACGATCTGCAGGCAGTAATTGCTGCGCCGATCCCAGAATACATCCACTTGAAGGTGCCTGAGATGATGCTGACCGGTCGGTGCTGTGAAACCTATGCACGTATGATGATCGAGGAGTGGCTAGCGAACAAGCGAGCTATCCGTGGAATACGGATCCACGACCACTCTTGGTACCGGCCTGATGATTACAGCTTCGACCACTCGTTCCTCAAGCCCTACCCACGACTCTGGGTGCAAAATGGACGACAGGTCTACTATAGAATCACACGCCACGATGGGAGCGTATTGATTTTGTCTGTAACTCGCAACTCTGAGTTACTCCAGCTCGTGCATCCCACCCGGCTTCGGCGTCCAAATGAAGACAAGTACCGCCACATTAATGAGTTTCTTGGTTTTAAGCATACGTGAATAAATTTAACTTAAAACTTCCTTGCAAAATTGCACCCGAATGTTCAGACCGTTCACCCACAAATACTGTACTCGCCTTTTTGGAATAGGTCACCGAAACAAATTTGCTCGAAATTTGCCAACAGGTCGTCAGAGAAAGCGATTTTTGCCGACCTCAGGGTATTAAAAGCGATTCGCAATTTTTGGCGCTAAAGACCAGACACACCCGTTGCCTGCGTGCGCATTACACCATTTTATTCTCTGACCCCTCACTGGGGCCCCGGTCTCGTACGTTTAACAAAACAACTACTTTTAACGGAATTTTGTCCTTAGAATTTTTGCTGGAGCCTCAACTATGCAATTTTTGATTTTTTTTTTCCCGAAGATCAGGTGTACCTTCTTGAAAATAACGATTAAGCAAGTCTGGAAAATAAGTACAGAATCGGCTGAAAATTCTTGCCTGCCAAGAAGCTGATAGACTTGATCGAAGCTAAATTGGCGCTCACGAACCAGATTTAGTGAAATAAACTTCAGAGAAATTAATCGGAGTTTGGATCGTGCTTTACTAAACGTGAATTGGGTAATGCCGCGTAGTGATTTCAATGCTCAGTTACCCAGCTCTCTCTCTCTCTCTCTCTCTCTTTTCCCCTCTCTCTCTCTCTCTTCTCTCTCTTTCTCTCTCTCTTGCTCTCTCTCTCATGATATTCTTTTTATTTTAGTTGTGCTCGACTTCTATTCAAATTTCCTGGGCAACCCCAAATTAAATAAATATTTCCCTTCCAGCAAATCAAGAAATGGACTTCTGCGCCTTCCCCATCAATGTGCAGCACAATATCCTCCGAAAAATGGACATTGAAAGCTTCTACGACACCGCGATCACCAGCAAATCGATGCTGCAGACGGCGCAGACTTGCCGAGACAAATACTGGGATGTGCAAGTGCGGAAGCACGATGATGGTGCATGCCGTTTCTCGCAGGACTTTATTGAGTGGATGCCAATGCGATGGTACTACCCGGACCCGAAAACGTGGAGATTGCTTTTCGATCACTAGACTGTCAAGCAGTTGCACGTCGGTGACGAATACCAAGAGGATATCCGCGGTATGGACCTCGTTCTGTACGCCCAGCACCCCGATCTGCTCAAGATTCTGGCTCGCCACAAGCCCGCCAAGAAGTACACTTACCTTCGGATTCGGCAACTAATCGCGCCAGTTCCAGAATTGATCGAGTGGCTGAATGCGTCGGCCAATTCTGTGGATTTGACGCTGAGCTATGCGGCATCAAGATATATACAGCTAAAGGTGCCCCAGATGCAATTCCTCGCACCCAGGACATCAGATACGGTATGCGAAGCCTACGTGCAAATGGTTTTCCACGAATGGCTAAGTGGCGACCGTGAAATCCAGTCGATAATACTGATGGCTGCACCACCCCGCCCGGCTACAACACCCCCGGCA